CTGATATGCAAAATACCTAATTAATATGCTTAGATGGTGCTTGGGACTATTTTGTGAAAGGTGGAAATATTTACTTTGGCATTCAATTGGTTAATAAAATGCAACATTTTTCTGCCATTCTTCACAGTCGAAACACCCATGGTGTGCAACATGAAACAATTGCCAGGATGTTAGATAGGTATGATCACTATGTTAATCCAAGTAATTTACTACGTGCTGTGGAGAAAACCAACCGAGAAATGTCACCTTCACCAATAAGAAAAGAAGAGTAAGTTGAACATTGAATTTCTGCTTTTAAAAATTGATAATCATGATAACATAGATAATACAAATATTGTCAGCTCCTATGGACTTTGCTTTTAATTCAGAACCAATAAATAACATTTAATTTTGGTTTAAAATGTTTCTGGCTGGCAACATGTAATGTTAGTGTGATTGCAATTACTAAATTTTGACACATAATTCCTCTGTTTAGATGGAAGGTGGTTTGATTTTAAGCAAGTGAATGGGGGAATCCCTAGTTGTTTCTTGTTGTGGTAATTGTAAGTAGGAACCCATCTAAATCCAATAGTTAAGGTCACCGGAAGCATATTAAGTTGATTTTGATTTTGATCCCCTATCTTTAGCTTTATTTTGCTTATTCTGTTGGGTCTTCATATCAAATAATGTTTTTTGATCTCTAGGAGTAAAGTACTCTCTGTTGATGATAAAATAAATTTGAAAAGAACTCCTACAATAGATGATGCAAATGAAAAAGAAGAAGACGTTGAAGATGTAGAAGCAGTTGATGGGGAGAAAAATGAAAAAGTTGAATGGCAAAGTGTTAAAAAGAAAAAGAGAAGGAAAAAAAAGAAGAAATCAAGTAATCTATCCGTGCCACAGGAAGAAATTGAACTTGCAAAACACGAAGAAGAATTATTCAAAGAGATTCAGACATATAGAAATAGACAGATACTAAGTGCCAGTGGTAGTCTTTTGAGTGCTGGGGTAGGTGCAGTAAAACCACGACTACCTCTCACAAAGCCCACTTCACTTTTCAAGAAACATAAGTGGGATACTGAGCATGGAGATATATTAGAGGTCCTACAGGGAGGAAGTAAAGCGGTAAGGATAGATGCTGAAGCAGCATGGGAAATGAGTCCTATGGAGTGGATAGATCATTTAGATGATGGAAAATCCAACTGTTCCTGCCCTGCCGGAAGACATAAAACCCACAAAGAATTGACTGATGATGATATAAGGGTGGACATCCTGCAAATAGAGAAGGACAAGGTGGAGCCAAGAGGATTAAATTGTCCTCCTGAAATTCCTATAGATGATGAAGAGAGGAATTTGATAAGCCGTATGAACATGGAAATGTTGATGGAATTCAAAGACAAAGCTGAATCTCAAGCTTTAATTAATCAAACTGATCATGAACATGACTTCATCTTTGCCGTTCATGATCCAAAGACCGGTGTTTGCTCTCTGTTTGCTGTTGGCCAAGCTGCTGAAGATCTTATTGGAACTGGGGTACGAAAGATACTAGTTCATAAAGACCTTTATGAACAGGCTAAAAAAGAAAAATTATTGAAGGAGGAAGCCGAAGCGAGGGAAGAACAAGAAGAACGTGAAAAGTTACAGAAAGAGGAAGCTGAGAACAAACAGAAAGAGGAAGCTGAGAACAAACAGAAAGAGGAAGATGAAAAGAAAGAAAAAGAGGATAGTGAAATGAGACAGAACGAGGAAGCTGAGGACAAACAAAAAGAGGAAGCTGAAAAGAAAGAAAAGGAAAATAGTGAAAAGACACAGAAAGAGGAGGCTGAGAAGGACCAGGAAGTAGAAGCTGAAAATAAAGTAAAAGAAGATAGTGAAAAGAAACAGGAAGAAGAAGCAGAAAAGAAAGAAAACGAGGATAGTGAAAATACAATGATAGAGGATGCCGGAAAGAAACAGAAAGATGAAGCTGAGAAAAATCAGAAAAAAGAAGTTGAAAAGAGAGAGAAAGAGGAAGTAGAAAAAAAACATGAAGAGCAAGTCGAAAAGAATCAAACTGCACCCTCAAGCAACAGCAGTAATAGAGAGAATAAAACCAAATCCAAATTTATGTTAGCTCCATTTTTTTCTGTCTCTAAATCCGACGGCTCCACTAAAACCATCAAGCCTGAGCTAGCATCAGTGAGAGCTGAGATAGAAGATCAGAAAATTAATAAGGGTCCACAATCAGAAATTTCTGAACTGAGAGAAGTATTGACTCTCATACACCCTCCAAAATTAGAGCATTCTGATATGGTTGATGCTGACGTTCCTCAACAAGTTATTCCACAACATGTAGATGTTGAAGCATCTGCTGAACAAACAAATCGCCGTGAATCAAAAACCGATGATCAGGAACTAATATGCACAGAGACATCTAACATTAAACCACTTGGCACCAATGGTGATGACCAAAATCCCTCTCAGCAAGTTCAGTCAGAAAACCAAAATGTAGACACTCAAGAGTCTGCTCCACGGGCAGAGGCAACAGATATTGACGCTTGTGACCAAGAACCAGCAGTTTGTAATGATCTTGCTGTAAACATTAAAATATACGCTGATGCTCGTGACCAGACACACATGTCACAAGTAGATACTCTTGTTGATGGTCAGGAACCTACTTCACATATTCAGACGTTTGACACTCTTGCTGTTGCCTATGAACCAGCTCTACAGGTGGAACCAGTGGACACAGATGCTTTTAGTAAAAAGCCAGATTCTCAAATTAAACCAGTAAATGCAAATAATAAAGAAGAATCTGCCATTAGTCTCACAAGTTCAAACAAAATTGGTTCTGAAGACTGTAACCAAACAACTATTCCACAATTACAATGTGAATCAGCAGAAAGTGATATGGAATGTCAAGAACATAATCTACAAACAGAAACAATTGTAAAATACCAAGAACCTGACTCCGAAGTTAAAGCAGTAAACACAGAGGTTTGTGACAAGGAATCTTCCAAAGGTGAATCAGTAGAAACTGATAAAGAATGCAATGTACTTGATCTGCAGGTTGAACCTGTAGAAGCAGATGCAAATTATCAAGAACCCTATTCAGAAACTCGGGTAGTTGATGGCCAAGAGCATATGGTTGAATCAGCACAACAAGATGCAAATTACCAAGAACCTGCTCCACAAATTGAACCATTTGACGACAATAGTGGTTATCAGGAACCAGTTCATCAAATGAGTGCTGTTGAAGTTGGTGTCCTAAAACTTACTCCTCAACTTGAGCAATTGAGCCCAAACATAAATGGCCAAGACAATGTCATGAAATTACAGTCAGTAGACACAGATTCTGGTGACCAAATTAAACAAACTGAAACTGATGTAGCTGACCAAGAATTTGATCCACCCATAGAAACTACCATTGATGGCCAAACACCTGTTCCTCAAGGGGAGCTAAAATGCTCAGATGTTGATGTTCCTGTTTCAGAAAGTAGAGCAGAAGTCATAGGTGTTGAAAGAGAAGTTTTCACACCAACATCTACATCAGAGAACAAGAGTTTCTATGGCCAGTGTTCTACTGGTCAGTCAACAAATGTTCAAGTGAATCCTGAATGTCTTGAGCAAACAGATTCTTTACAAAGTACGAATCAACTTTCCCTTACTGAAGAGATTGATGGAGCAAAAGGTGAACAGGGAGAACAAAATCTTGTATCAACAACAAGATCTTCAGAAGTATCCCCAGTTTATATTAATGCCCTTTCTGGAAACTGGACTTTTCCAAAGTATCCTGTTCCTGCAGACCAAAGTAGATTTGGTGTTGGAGAAAAAAATACATTTGACATAAAACCAGCTGAAATGGTTGATGTTTGTTGTTTCACTGATCCACAAGATTTTGCATGTTTGCAAAGAATTCAGGATGAAACTGAAACATGTCAGTCAGCTTGGGTTATTATTGGGAATCCTACACGTTCTAGTATTCTTGATGAAGAAGTGGATTATGTACCAGTAGAAGAAGTCAATTCCATCCTAAAACTTCACAAAAGCACAACCACAGATGAATTGAATGTAGATAAAGATTTTCATGCAGACCTGAACTTCCTTCGAGGCTGCTTCACTAGAGTTGGTGAGGATGATTTGAGGCATGTGTTGACACAGTGTGATGGGGATGTTAGTTGGGCTGTTAATATCATACTGGATTCTGATATTGATGTACCTATCATGAGTTCTGGTGACACATATAATGGTGTCGGGATGGCTTCTAAGATTGACGTTGGCACTCATAGAGAAACGTTTGGAGTTGAGGTTACCTCAGATGATAGTGGAGAATTTAAGTATGTAGTTGATGAGTCAAAGGATGAATCATGGCCAGAATGGCGATCAAATCCCGATGATATTGCAGTTAAAAAATCCACACATCCAGAAGCACTTGGGGAGATTGCAAGAATGGATGATTTTGATGTTGGTACAACTGCAACTCACATTCCAAAAAAGCTTGCCAATGCAAGTGTTGATCAAGCTAACTTGACAGAAGATCTTGAGGCAGTTAGTGATATTCATATGCCGTACATTTTTGGAGATGAAGAGCATCAACATAGCAAACATCACGATGATCAAATTCATGGTAAAGGCTTTGGTATTGCTTTACCTAAGATTGATGATGAAAGGCAAAACGAAACTGTGAGACCTGATGAGGATGACGACTCAGACATTAATGGTCAAGCGATGGCCCAAGGAATGAATGAAGAGCTCGAAGAAATGGTCGCCTCAAAGGCTATGGCTGAAGGACCAAAGACCTGGCAATTACCTCTTAATCCAGTATTTGCATTGCAGCTACAGGAGATGTTTGGACCAGTTGGAATACTTTCTAAAGGTAAGCTCACTTGTTTTTGCAGTTATAACAGGCCACGCTACAGGTGATATTTGGACCAGTTAGAACCCTCTCCAATAACAATGTGTGCATGTAAGCTTACCAAGTTGTTTGTCTGTTAAAAATCACTGAGCAAAAAATTTGTGTTTTTACTTAATTTGCAATCAAAGTTTTTTGTTTTTTTGTTGGTATAATGCAGAACTGATTGCATCACAATGACACATGACCTTATTTGAGCTTACTTCTCCCAGATTCCAGTCATCTATGTATGTTACATCTGTTTCTCAAACACTTCTTATTTTTTGTATCTCTGAATGACTCCCACTCTGTCATTTTCCTCGGTACAGGTGACTGCCCTGATGAAGATGATTTGAATATCGATATAGACAATAAGGTAGCAGGTCTGATTTATCAATGTTGGGTTGAAACGTTGAGATCAAAAGAACCCCAGCTGAGAGCCAAGCGGGAAAAATTGTTGAAAAATGGTATGTTGTTTTCAATCATAAAAGACAATCCATCTATTGCATTGAAAAAATTCACTGACAGAATGCTATAACTTTGCCCTGAATTTTGTGGTGAACATGTATAGACATTATTACTATCAACGAAGGGTTTAATAGGAGTGCCCCTCTATAATTTATTTGTGCCCTCTTCATTTTGTAGCATCCCTCTATTTATCTTAAGTGCCCTCTTTTGTTTTCGGTGAACAGCTGTTTCAACTGAGTCCCGGAAGATGTCCCGGCAATGTTATTGAGAGACCTCTTATAAATTGACAGGCAATAAAACAAAGAACTAAGAGACAGATAGTGGTGTAGATGACAACTAGGACAATGAATTGGATGTCTGGGGAAAAACAAGTAGCTGAATAAATAAATAAACAAAAACAATGGCGCTGTGTTGATCATGCCATGGGAGCGTCAAAACAAATTTCATAATCATTCCTGAATTAGTTCAGATACTTAAGAACAGAAGAACCAACAACAATTTATTGGTCCAGGGGTACTTGCCTTTTATTGACGAAAAGTAAAAAGAATCATCAAAACAAAACATACGGTAAACACTGAAACAAGATGGATGACATGGTATCTGATTTGACCTTTGTCCTCAGATCAATTTATTTATAGTCATTGGATTTGATTTATTTCTTTTTAATTTTAAATGGTAAATTTGTAATATTTTTCTTGTTATTCCTTTAGTTCTTCAACTATTACAATATGTCAATGCATTTATAAAACTTATGAGAATGAAAATACTTGAAAGAAATTTAAAAGAAATGAATGAAAGGCTAGAATTGCACAACTTGTTTCCCTAACAGAGAATAAGACGGATATTAATTCAAAGTTGATAAAATGTTACACTAAGTGGTTTAATTTCTTCATGAAAATAATTCAAGAACATCAATATTATATTACTTGTACCAAAGACAATAATGTCTTTGCTTGTACAGAGTATTTGAGGTTGGTATAAATATAAAAGTGCTTAGAATTCCCTTTCAAAAGTCTGTGACTGATATGTTAATCACATGCAAACTAGACATGCTAATTATATGCAAATTTGTGCCCCTATTGGAATTTTATTTGTGGAGAACACTGATTATGATGACTAGTGATAACTACATTCAACTTCACACATACATCATGGGAGATGTATGCAAGTCCATGTTTCATGGTCTGATTCAAGATGGATGAATGGGGGTCATTTTTTGTATCAGCAATTCATTAAAATCAAGCATTTCTGACACTGGATCTTGGTCAACTGACAATTTTGCTGAGATTTCAAATTCACACTGTCCAATTAGGTCTACACACTAAAACATCCTCATCCACATCCACAGTGATGGTCGATGAGCAGCCATATTGTTTATTGAAAATCTGCAATTTTCGTCTATTTTTGCACAATTCTGCTTATCTCTCAAATTTACATTGTCCATTAAAGTACATATTTGGAAAAACGAGCAATTGGGTTCTAGCACATCAACAACTACATGGACAAAATACCTAATATTAAAGAGAAAAAAGGAAGGTTCCGTCATTACGTAGAAAAAAAATCAAAATTGGCATACCAGACAATCCCAATGTTTTACCAATACTCAAACTTAATATCATTAAAAATCATGCATCTAGCAGCAATGGACATTAGCTATTCATAAAATCCAATACAACTTATTTGAATATTACAGATACTCTCAGTATCGCTCATGAATGACCTTCATGTACTCATTTTTTTTTATTGACCACAGATGAGGATTTGGCCAGAGAACTACAAAGGGAAGAAGATGACAAAAGAAAAGCGTCTGTACTGCCTCGATCCAGATCCAGCAGCAGTCCATCTTCTAGTGGATCTTCTTCCCCTAGCAGGAAAAGAAGATATATTCCTCTACCCAGCCAGCCCATAGATAGAGTGAAATCCTCTATTCCACAGGCTGGAGTGCAACCACTGACAGAAATCATGGATGAAGAATATGGAATGCAGTTACACAGGAAAGACGTGGTGAGTGACATTCACTGGTAGTGCAACTATTGTTGCAACAAACTTGTGATGGAAGAACCAAGTTCAAATACTACTGGAACTGAACAGTAAAATGCCCCAATCGTTGACAGTGGATTATAGTGCTGGAATCCAGGAGCGTTTGACCCTTTTTGAGTTTATTGCTCAGTTAACTAGTCAATGATGTATACAACTTGAAACTAAGTCAAAGAACACAGTGAATATGTTTATTTTTTTCTCCATAGGATGCTGAGAGAGCAGAGAGACGTGAGAAACATGATGTCCTAGCAAATAAGTTGAAGAAAGAGCAGTTGTACTTGAGGTTTCCAGATTTAGAATCAAAAGTCCTGGAAGAAATATTTGAAGCAAGCAAGTAAGTAAAACAAGTTGATGTTGTTAACTGCTTTTCATGTTCATTTATCAATTGAATTTCTAAATTTTAAAACAACATCACCATATCATCAACATCAAAGTAACATTCAGTGTTTTTTTGTCTTAGTTAAAGACCACCTACCCATACTGACTACTTTCGGGGCAGTCCAAATGCAATTGACACGTAAAATGACATGTACATATGTGTGACACAATGACCAGAGAGAAGGTCATTGGAATATGTTAGTGGGATCGTATCCATGTGTCAGTTCACGACAGTGATAGTGTTTATCTTTTTTCCATGGCAGTTATGACTTAGGTGAAACTGTGAAATTTGTAGAAGAATCTAGTGGTATAAAGAGTAAACCACCACCGCCACTATTGGCAGTACCTGAGCTTGCGCCCAAACATCAAAGTTGGGTAGGTGCCTCATCAAACGAAGAGGTAAGAATAATTGTGCATATATTATGATATAGCAAAGATTTATATATATTTATAATAAACAGGGATTCCAATGCATTAGAATACAAATCTATTAATGTTTAGATTCTGGTCCTGCAGTTGTCATCAACACATCCAGTATCAGATGTCTGCTTGATCAGGTACATTTAGGTATCAAATTTGGATTGAAATTCGATTCTAATTTTAACAACTTTTCCCATTAATCTTGTGAGGGAGGGGGGGGGGGAGAAGACAATAAAGGTATATCCAACAGTCTATTAAGTTTCAGATTTAGCTCATTGCTATACATGTAGGTCAATATTTTTTGAAACAGTGCCCAATAAGGTTGTTGTTCTCAAATCTACTTTATTGATTTATAAAACATTTAGTGCCAGAAGTTTCAAAGTTAGTCAGGAATTATTAGCCCCCACCTAGGAGGGGGCTTGTAGTTTTGCCTCCATCATTCTGTTCTGATTTTTTTGAAACTTGGCACAAAGACATAGTGGTCAACCATACATGTGCTTGTCAATTTATTTTCCGATTCGATAAAATATGGCCGACTGGTGGCCATTTTTAATGCCGAAATTCAGTCAAACTTGGTCCTTGTGTATGTTCATCATCATTTCTCGGAGATGGCTTGACCGATTTTGTTGAGACTTGTTTCAAAAACAAAGGGACCACCCATACAGATGCACATTGTTTCACTTTTTTGAAATGATCAAATATTGCCGACTGGCGGCCATTTTAAATGTCAAAATCCTGTAAAATCTTATAATATCTTGTGAACTAATTGTTCGAATGAGACAGAACTTGGTATAGACTTACTTGATCTGTCAATATAAGATATGTGCTATACAATATTGAGTTTCAACATCATTAATGGGCTCATTTGCATATTGCTTGGTTATTTTACTGGCAGTTATGGTAGTCTTGCCAAGAATAAACAGTTCTTTTTCGGCTACTGCACTCTTACCTGACAAGGCCCCAAATCAGTTCAATCCCAGTAAAGTCCAGCCTTTTGGCATGCCGATTATCATTTCTCCAAGATGAGTGCACTTCAAACTTTATAGATTGACAGAGACCACTAGTGTATATGCACATCGTTTTTTTTAATCAATATAGCAGACTAGCGGCCTATTCTTTTGATAATATCTTGTGAACTAATATGTATTTGCTATTTAATATTGACTCAATTGAATTTCCATATTCAATTGATTGTGAATTTTTAGTTAAAATTGGTGCAAATTTAATAGAGATGTCCTAGCTGTTAACTTAGTGTTTCCTACCCGATTGTATACATATATCGGTATATTCAAACTTTATAATTCATAGCCAACTATATGATAACATCTGACAAGTAGGGGCTGTGTTATCTTCAGATGACTTGTTTAACAACTGATATCCGTCTTTTGTAGTATGCTTCTTTTCAGAAGCTGGACGTCCCTGATTATCGTGACTTCAGGGCAGAGGCCAACTTGCATCATAAACAAAGACAGGAGTGTTTCAAAAAAGCTGCAGCCGCCTATCAGAAAGGAGAAAAGCAACTTGCTTCATATTATTCGCAGCAGGTAAGTGAAATAATTTTAAATCTGTCACCTAAAAAATGGAAAAAAGTTGTATTTTGTGACAGTTCAGACCGTTGTCTCACACTGAATTATGACTTCAAGCATTTAAACGCATGTAATAATCATAAGCTTATGATGAGAATAGGAGTCAGTCATTTATTTTGATTATCTCATGCACACATTCACACCATGATGTGAAGTATGAGTATTTGTGTATAATTGTTATGATAAGGTTCAGGGGTGGATAACAAGAGAC